TGTCCCTTCAGTTACAAATTCATGTATCATGTTTTTATAAACTGTCGCAGATGACAAGATCAGTTTTTGCTAACCTAAAGGTAAAGGTAAAGGTTCCCCTCACACATATGTGCTAGTCATTCCTGACTCTAGGGGGTGGTGCTCATCTCCGTTTCAAAGCTGAAGAGCCAGCGCTGTCTGAAGACGTCTCTGTGGTCATGTGGCCGGCATGACTAAATGCTGAAGGCACACGGGACGCTGTTACCTTCCCACCAAAGGTGGTCCCTATTTTTTTCTACTTCCATTTTTAAGAGCTTTCGAACTGCTAGGTTGGCAGAAGCTGGGACAAGTCATGGGAGCTCACTCTGTTACACGGTGGTAGGGATTTGAGCTGTCGAACTGTCAACCTTTCTGATTGACAAGCTCAGCTCTTAGCCCCTGAGCCACCATGTCCCTTGTTTTTGCTAAACTGGAGCCCTACAAATGATCAGATTAGTAATTGTAGGGTTGAGAAACTTTAAGGTATAAGACAAAAACTAAGCAAATCAGAAAAGCTTTGAGTGTAGTCATTCCAATTCAATTTGTTATGTTAAAAAGTGTTCAGTTCCACATAAAGAATTTGAAAGAATTAATTTTCCTTGCAACTTCTGACGACTGACTCTTGCAGAACAGACACCGGGAACATCTTGAATTCCATTGTAGAGTGGAATTACTTACACACATACTGTCCTAGAAATAACCCTGAATACAATAAAGTGGATAGGAAAATAATTCACTTTAAATCAGAGCAGTTATTTTGTGCTGGATGCCAGGAAATATGTTCCCAATTGTGTCAAATTTCTCTGCCTTTCAAATACAACGTGGCAAAGTGCAAATGACTTCTCAAGGCGCTGAGAACCCATATGGAAGAGAAGCAAAGAGCAAACAGCAGCCTACCTTGGGGGACAAGGTTCCAGGTTACAAGATCTCAGCAACTGTGGGGGGCGCCGACTGCTCACACATAGATTTTCATCTGCAAATTCTCTGGTCTGTTTATTCAGGCAAGTCACTACAGCCTCCTGGACACCTGGACACACAAACCAAATTAAATCAAATTAATGTTTAAAATCCTGCCAGCTGCATTCCAAGTACAGAGTCAGCAGAGAGGACTGCAGACATGATACTAACAAGAGATCCTTTGGAGCAGCCAGCTTGGGAGCTTGGTGCCTTTAGGAAAGTAATCTGATACTCTCTATCTGTCAATAGGGCAGCATCACAGATGGCTACTACCCACAGAGGGAGCATAGCGATTTACAAGTGGAAAGGTAACACCACATGGCAGATACACAATAGGTCTTCTAGACAATTGAAAAATATCTTCCTTTTTTAATGGATTAGATGCAGTAGCTGTCTTATTTTTATTTTTCTAGGAATAGATGATGCAAACTTATTGCCTGCCGCTAAGGGAAATGCCCTTTTAACATTTATTGTTCTGAGGTGAAATTCAGCACTGAATCAAAACCACCCTATTAGATAACAGCACAGATATTATATTATTATAATGGAGTGTTCTGGATCTATGGAAGTGGAACAAAGGTTTAGAAGTCCCAAAGAGCCGATAAAAAGAAACACCAAGTTTATTGGGTTTTAGTGAGTTCAGTGGTTTGAAATAGTTTGAGGATCTTATTCCAACTAGAGCTAGGAATATATTTGTGAAATGGCATAGAAAACTGGTTAATCCAGGTAACACTTGTTGAAAGAAATGTCCTTCTAGGTTCAACTCCAAGTGGGGAAAAGGTGATCACATGCTTCAATGTTGGTGGAGAAGAAGAGAAGGAAGGGCTGAGATGCTGA